CTTAGCAGAGCCCGTGAGGGAGGAGCAGGGCTCTGTGGACGCTCCGTACATTCCCTGCTCGGTTTTTCTGGATACTTAAAATTGCTCTATGGCTGAATAGTACTCCTTGGTGCACATGCACCTCAATTTGTTAATCCCTTTGTGGGTTGATGGGCACTTGGGTTGCTTCCACACTTTGGCAGTTATGAATTGAGCTGCAATAAACATTCTGGTGGAAATGTCTTTGCAGTAAAATGATTTTTGTTCTTCTGCATAGATACCTAATAATGGTATTGAGGGATCAAATGGAAGGTCAGCTTTTATTTTTTTTTAATTTTTACTTATTTATTTGAGACAGAGTCTCACTATGTCACCCTTGGTAGAGTGCTGTGGCATCACAGCTCACAGCAACCTCAAACTCTTGGGCTTAAGTGATTCTCTTGCCTCAGTCTCTCCAGTAGCTGGGGCTATAGGCACCCACTAATTTTTTTTGGTTGTTGTTGTTGTCATTGTTGTTTAGCAGGCCTGGGCCGGGTTCGAACCCACCAGTCCCAGTGTAAGTGACCGGCGCCCAAAACACTGAGCTATGGGTGCCAAGCTGGAAGGTCACCTTTTGGATCTTTGAGGATTCTTAATACCTTGTAAGTAAGAATAATGTAATCTAAACATTTGTGTCCTCATATTAATTTGAAATGAAAAAAGAGTAAAACTGCTCTAAAAAATAAAGCCTGTTAATTTTTTAAGTAGATAATACTATAAATTTGCTTAATTTATAAATGAGATGAAAATAACATGAATATGGATACCTTTTAACACTTTCTGATCCTATGTCAGACAAAAGTACTTTATGTAACCTAAAATAGATGGTAAAATCACCAGATGAGTTCATATTTATGTATTTCTCTTTAAAAAGTGTAGGATAATTATAAGTAATCTGCCACCCTCTTTCCTTCCAAATTCTTATTTCTCTTTCCTGCCCAAAGTAAATAAGAGGTGGGGAGTATGTGGGTGACAGAAAAATTGGATTAGATTAAGAGAAAACACTCGTAGGAAAATCTGTCTTTCAATGGTAAGCAGAAAGAGCAGAGGCAAAGCCGCCCTCAGTAGGGGCCGCTGCAGACTCACCCCTGGGGACCACATGGTGGCACCAGGACTGATACAGTCACGGTATGGGGCAAAGGTCAGACAGCTCTGAAAGGAGTTATTGTAAAGAATCACAACCAGACACTGACGGGCAAAACAAAAGGGAGCGAATGGAGAACAACAACGAAAGGAAACAGAACGCAGTAATAAAACGCCGAAGTGATATGAAGAGCTCAGTTCCCCAATCAAAGGAAGAGCTCCTCAGGCTGAATTTGAAAACATGTCTCATAATCCGACTGTTAGGCATGAAGGCTGAGCACAGAGGAACCAAACCCAAGTTAGAAGAACGCAGAGAATTGGTCAACGATGAAGACTGTGCCCGCCACTCCTCTCTCATGCCCAAATCCCTAGATATGGTGAGAAAAATATCTTCGCAGGCCTATCAGAGCACAAAAAGATAATGGCCTCCATGTGTGAACTCTAATTTCTGGGCACTCTCCAAAGGAAAGGTGGCAGGAACAGCTTGCTATGGAGGTGGGCAGGGAGCTGGGGGCATTTGGGGACACCCAGGGCTATTGCAGGCATCTGTACTTGGAGCAGCCTGTGAGGTCCCCTCAGCCCAGAGGCTGGAGGAAGGGGCCTAGGCTGGTGAGGCACAAGTGGGAGGTAGGGGAGGGCACAGAGGGGCAGCCTGGCTCACTCCAACTACAGGCACCCTTGCAAATCCAGGTGGGGATGGACAGGGCACCGGGAGGGCCCTACATACGTCTATACTGGGCAGGCTTATCCCAGAGCGGGCAAAAGAGAAGTGCCCCACATAGCCTCCTAAGAAAAAGAAAAGGAAAAGGGAAGAGATGTGAAAAACTGCTCAACCTCATTGTAATCAAGGAAATGCAAATTATGGCAGTTTCACACATACTAAATTGGTAACAAAAATACTAGTAACACTCTTGGCTGGTTACATTTTTGAGAAGGATATTAGTGAGGCCTGACCCAGTAACCATTTGGCAAACAACGTGGCAAAATGTTTCAGGAGCCATGGAGTTGTTTATTGTTTGGATGCAAAAACAATTTTAAAATTTTAAACTGAAAAATTATCAATAGGAGAAAAAAATATATAAAGAAAAAAGCCACAAGCACAAAGACATCAATATGTATTCACCTGTTACAGAGATACAAAATATATTAAAATATGTATATAATGAATAAATAAAATACTGTGTAATACATATACAATAAATATATTTCTATATAAGAGACATATAAATAATTATGTATGCTGATAAATATATAAATGTTCATCTATAACACAGAAGCGTAGATAATCTAATTGTAAAATAAGACAAGGCTTTCGTAAAATATAATGTGTAATTGATCACTTTATGTACCACATTTATACGTGGAAAGTGGTTTGCGAGAGCACATTAAGTTTAAATGCAGACAGCTGCATGGCAGAGATGATGCAGGGCTGTGTAAATTGTGTCTCCTGCCTACAAGGATGGAACAGCCATGCGGGAACACGATGACTGGATGCACCGAGGAGGGTGGTATGCCCCTGAGCTGCTTGGCTCCAGCCAGGCAACAGCAGTGCGCTGTGTGGTGAGGTCACCCAGGCAGACAATGGGCTGTGCAAAGCCTCATGTCCCCCATGTGTTCCTCCCCGTGCTGTTGTCTGCCCCAGGTTTGTATTCACACCTCACCCCCAGGACAGAGGCTCTGCAGAGGACATCCCCAGAGCGGGGACACACGGGCTACACAGCAGGTGCTGAATCAATGTCTGCTGCGTAAATCTCAGCCCAGGGTTTTAGGCGTGTTTCTCTTTAGATGTATGTTAAGAGACTCACAGTCCTGCTCCCGTTTCACCAGCAACAGATTTTAAAGACCACGCTTAATTTTAAGGACAATAAGATTTTATTTCAGAAAAGTCACAACATATTTTCACTCGGAGGCATTCATCGTCTTTCTTGTGCTACAAACTACTTTAAACACACAATTCCTTCCAATTTCTTATTTTTGGCCAAATTATGTGCAGATAATAATGTATTGCTGAAGCCAAAATACACAGCCTATAAATAAAGTGCCGACTTTCATTCATTGGAAATAAAAGGTTTAGACAGGTTTTGTTCATTGTTTCTCTTGATATATTAGCTATAGAGAGTGAACATGGTGACAGTTAAACAAACGCAGAAGTCCGTCTAAAATACAGTTCCTTACTGGACTCACTTCACCAGAAACTAAACAAGAAAAAAAAAATCCAAGTGTAAGTCATAGGAATACAGTGTTCTCACTTCTCGGTGCTTATGGGCGTGGCAGGAATCTGAGACTGTTCCCTGTGACCTGGTTTCTGGAGCCACAGGAGAACCTGGAGTGGGGGAGTGCAGGTAGGCAGGCAGGCACATGGGACGCCTCACTGAACACGTGGTCTCTGCAGCAGCCTCAGCCCCCAGAGCCTGGCCACAGGGGCACAGCCACCATGTGTGGGGCCCAACCCAGGCAGACGAGCAGGACTGACCCTGCAGACACATGGCACCACGTCCTCCACCATGGCAGGGTCTCAGGGTGACTGTTACTCTCAGGGGGATCGGGGTTGAGCTAAAGATCACAGAACTATGCAGAAAACTTACTCTGAAATGAAGCAGCCATGTGAGGTGGGGAAAGGGCCTACGGAAATTATGATCACAGTTTTAAAGGAAGATTTTCCAGTATTAAAAACAGTTCTCAATGTCCTATCCACACACTTCACAAACACCGTTAGTGCTGTCGTCACAGTTTGCTCTTTCATGGCCTATTTCCAAATATTTTTACGGGGTCTTTATTCATATCTATGCTCCCAAACCTTGTGTCTGGCAGGGACTTGCCCACGAGAGCTGCAACAGCCATCCCACGTACTTAGAGGCTGGCTCTGAATCCATATATCAACATCAACACAGAAGGCACAGTGGCCGTCACCCCCCACCCCCAGCCAGGACTCAGGCTGGGTCTGCTATGTGGGATGTAAGCAGCCGTGGCAGGGTCTGCCTTTGCAGTGACATGAAATAGCCACTATGGAGCCGCAGCTGAAATCTGCTCGCTGCAAACAAAGCAAAGTACTGATGAGAAGGAAACGCTCCAGGGGGGTGATGACTTGGGAAACCAAGAGCTTTAGACACAGGAACAGGTGACCGTAGGGAGGCAGTCAGCCCTGCAGCCTGCAAACAATGGAGAAGGGCATGTCCTAGGAGACAGGGGTCCCTTCCTGCTGACCCTGGGCCCAAAGAGTGGAAACTCACAAGGGAGAGTCTGAGAAGCCCTGGGAGCAATGGCGCCATCAGCAGCCAGGAAGCCCCACTGCTGGCTGGGGCCTTGCCCAGCTCCTCATGGGGGTGGGTGGCCACACCCACCCTGACCAGGACAGCTGGTGACTCCAGGCTGCAGCTCTGTGCTTGGGTGGAGGTCCCAACCTAAGTGCCCAGCTCAGTCCAACAAGCACTTCGGTGGCGCCGCCTTTGGGAGCTTGTTGGGTGAACTCAGCAGTCTGAGAACCTTCGCCACGTGCCTCCAGCTGCCTGCACCTTACTCTCAGGGGTGGGGACTTTCCTCTTGGTGCGTGGGGACTTTAACCACCTCTGTGTCCCCGAGTCCCAAGGTGGAGCTTCCCCTCCCATGAGCTCATGCCCCACTGGGTCCCCTCCCTGTGCACTTGCACACATAGGAAGGCTCTTGCACAGCCCCACAGTGGGCAACTGTGCATTTCAGGGGTCCCCAAAAGCCAGTCACTGAGTCACTCAGGCCAGAGGCAGGGCTCACACCCTGCTGACCATGCCGGTCTGGACATCGGGCTTCTGGGCTGAGCAGTGGGATCAAACAGAGGCACAGGTGAGGATGCCAGCTCAGGGCCACCACCTCCACATCCAGACAGTAGTGCGAAGAGGGTCCCAGGGGTGAAGGTGGAGGGTCTGCTTTGTTCTACTTGGGGAAAGGGGTTGTTTTGAGCAGCAGGCCTGGCTGGTGAGCAGCCTCTCAGTTCACACGGCAGACAGGTCCACGCGGTGGGCAGAATGGCTGCTCTTGTCCCAAGGGCTGAGCTTGGTGGAGGCTGTGCCTGGCCGGGTCCCATTCATCTGCAAACCACAAAGGGGTAAGGAGTGAAGACCCTGCCCCACGAGGAAAACTCAAATCCCATGTGAGTGTGGAAAGCTCTGGGCCAGAGAGGTGCGTGGGGATCCCCCTGTCGGGCAAAGCTCAGAGTGAAGGAGACCCTACTGTTCCCCAGAGATCCCGACTAGAGTCCTCTGCAGTCACCTCCCTTCCTCACTGCCTTTAGGCTGCCAGGTGTGTTCACTCACCTACTCATTCACTCATCTATCCATCCACTATTCATTCATACATTCACCCCATCTTTATTCATCTTCACCCACTGAGCAACCGTGCTCTAGGCACCACTGTGGGCCATGGGGTCAGAGCATGAACAGAGCCAAGCAGCTCTGTGGAGTGTCCACCCCAATGGCAGGCCGGGGGTCAGTAAGCCACTGAGTGATCAAAACAACCGCAGGCAGGGGCAGGGTGTGGTGTGGGAGCACCTGCGCCAAGCGCCATGTGGGAAGGACCTCCTGAGGGTGGACTCTGGAGCCAGGACCTGGCAGGTGGGAGGCAGGGCGCAGAGAGAACCCACGACAGCATCTGCTCCAGGCCACCTGAGGATCTGTCCTGGGCCCCTGTCTGGGGGTCTGGAGGCCAGGGGGATGGGCTCAGCACTGAAAGATGAGGGGCTTGTTGAGACCCCTGAGCATGGAGACTTGACTCCTTGGGCACCTGCAGGAGGAGGGGCCTGGTGCAGGGTACATAATCCTCAAAGGCGGGGATGCACCTGCTGAGTCCTTTCCCCAGTGTCTCCCTCTTGGTCAGTGGCCCTGTAAGTTCTTCTATCCACTGACTCAATACAAGAATGGCCCTGAGAATGGGGCAGGGAGAGGCTGGGGGGACTTGTCAGGACACAGGGTGCTGCTATGGGGCAACCTGGGGCAGGCAGGACACGGGACGAGGACAACCAGGCTCCACAGCCTCCCCCACTGTGGCCCAGTGCCTGTCTGCACAATGGCACCTATGGGGCTGGGCTCTGGATGAGGGACACCCAGCTCGGGGAGCAGGAAGGCAGCCTCCAGGTGACAACCACAATACAAAGAGCCCTGGGGCCAGGAGGTGGGACCCGTGATGGGATGCCCCCACCCCAACTCCTGCACTCACAGTGTCCGAGTGGAAGGGCTTCACGTTGATGTTGCGGGTGGAGCTGCTCGTGAGGGACCAGACCTTGGTTTTGTGCTTGAAGGCAGCTCTCACCTTGGAAAGCAGAAGGAAGTGTTCATTAGAGGCAATTTAGGAGGCTGAAAGAGCAAAACCCAGAGCTCTTTCTAAATGATCTCTAGGAATCTGTGCAGAGGTCAGGGCCCAGGACACCATCCAGGCAGAATCAGGGGCAGTGGCAGATCCTGCCCCCACCACACCAGGCCCAGGCATGGTTTCTGGAGGGCTCCTCCCAGCTTAGCAATGATTGTCATGGGTGCAGAGGATGGCGAGAGATACATAACCCAGCGTGTGCTGGGTAGGCTATGCATGGTCCTGAAGCCACACTGCCCTGCCAGGTGCATCCAGTCTCAGGACCTCCTAAGGCCTGTGCCTTGTCTTTGCAATCATGTGACACTTCTGACCCTGGCCACTATCTTCCTCAGCAGCCCTCTCTTCCCTACCATGCCTTTCCTGTGTCCTTGCAGATGGGCACCTCCTCTGAGAAAGCCCAGGCAGGTGGGGCTTCATATACAAAGGCAGCCAGCTCCCCACAACTGCAGCCTGGCAGGGGCTCCAATGACAATGGGCAGAATGCCAAGCCCACAGTGCAGGGGCAGGAGTTCTGCCACAGGATTATGGGTCCTGAGGGACAGGGCCATGCTCAGAGCAGCCCACCTCTAACAACCACCCACAGGGCAGGTGCAACCGCCCCGAACGGGCCCACTCACTTCCCCAGCACCCTGACAGTTCTTCATCAGTTCCCACAGACAGAGCCTCCTCCACACACCCCAGTAGTCTCCCCAAAGCCCTGGGAACACATCTACATCCTACTCTCCCCATCATGCCAGGCTCTGGTTCAGCTCGGCTATCCCCCACCAACCCCGTTTCCCTGGTCCTCTGCGCAGCCAGCAGCACCTGCTGTAGCATCAGGAAGAGAGGATGCTTGTACATTGCCTAGCAACCAGGATGTGTGGGAAGGGGTCGTAGAAAAGCAGGCCTGTTTCACACACCTTGTCACCAGGGACAAGGCTGATCCAGGATCTCATTCCCAGACACCAGCCTGGCAGGGCAGCACTGTGCCTCTCCAGAAATTTAAAAAAAAAAAAAAAAAAATAGCTTCAAGTTGTTAGGAAGTAGGGGCACGTACCTCTGAATTGAGGAGACAATGAAAGAGGAAGATGAAAAGTCCCTGGGAAGGAAAGGAGGAAAACACAGAATTAGAGCCATTTGCATTTTATCACAAGCATTTTCTGAAGGTTTTTTCCATACATGGGCTTTGGGAATGGCACTGGCAGGGCTCAATGTGACCCTGGATCCCGTGATCTGGGTTCATGGGGAGGGAAGGCCTCCTGGACTCTGCAGTGTAAACTACTCAGGCAGCTGCTGCCACCAGAGTTCAGAGGTGGCTCTAAGGGGCAAAGAGAGATGGATTTCTAGGAAGGTCCAGCACAGGGAAGGATGGACATCAGACTGACACCTCAGCTAAGCCTTGGTGTCCTCAAGTGAGACAATAATGAAAACAAGCATAAGAATGAGGATATCGCTAAACATCCAGAGGCTGCTGTGACATGCTGGGCACCAGGCCAGCATTTCACATAGGATTTTTTCTTTCAGTACTGCCCCATTAGGGGCCTGCTATTGCCCCTATTTTATAGGGGAAGGAAACAGCAGGGGACACAGAGGACAAATGAGGGCCTAGAGCAGGTGTCCTCAAACTATGGCCCGTGGGCCACATGCAGCCCGCCTAGGACATTTATCTGGCCCGCCGGGTGTTTTTGCCGCCACTGCTTGTCCTGTTTAGCAGCCGACTCATCCCGGGGCCCGCAATCTGGCCCTCCAATGGTCTGAGGGACAGTGAACTGGCCCCTGTTTAAAAAGTTTGAGGACCCTTGGCCTAGAGTATGTGGGGCTGCAGCCAGGGTACCCCATCACATCTCACGGTGAACAGCCATAGGAGGACACTGCATGGAACGGGACTTACTGCCAGTAAGCAGCCCAGAACTGCTGCAGGACGCAGCCCTGGCCTTGCAGGCACTGACACTGCACAGGCAGCACAGCCAGGGCCAGGTGGACTGCTGACAGTGCTGGGAATCTGCCTTTCCTTGGGGGACCCATGGGTTTGAAGACTCAGGCATCTCAAGCCTCTGGTTTCCAGGGTGGTAACCCACAAGGCCTAAGGATCCCCTGTTACCACCTCTATGCCCTCTCCCGTCAGGAGCTGTTGAAGGCTGACTATCTTCCATCTCAGGCCCAGAGGGGCCTCTCCAGATCCTGGCCAAAAGCATGAGCAGAGCTACTGGGAATAGGGTCAGGACACTGCAAGCCCTGTTTTCTGAGCACCCGTGGTAGGTGCTCCACTGACAGCTATCCTCAGGTCTCAGAGTGCCCCCCACTAAGGGCTCATGAGGTGTGTGGAGGGAACAGAGGACGGACCTCCCTCCTGCCTCTGCAGCAACCTGCTCCCCACACACCCACTTGTAAGAGCTGACAGCCCCCTCACCTCCCTGACAGTCCTGGTGGGCTCTTACCTGCAAGGAGTTGAGTATGGCAAACATGTACTGGAAGACTATGGCCCGGTCATTGACAGCAAGGACACCAAATACCCACGAGGTTCCTAGGATGGGCAGCAGCACAGCCACCGCTTTGGCTGTCAACCTGAGAGAGAAGCAGCTACAGTCACTTTAAGCAGTGGGCAGGAGGATTGCCCTGGAGGTAGGGAGCTTCCGGACGGGGGCAAGACCTGCAGAGAGGCCAACTCAGGTCTGGAGGGTTTAGTTTGAAAAGACAAGTAAGTAGGAGGAGCCAGGCAGGAGGGGATGAGATTTGGGGAGATTGAAGCAGCAAGGGACCCCCCCACCCCACACTTAGCATTCATAATTCAGAACCTCTGGGAACTGGGAATGCAATGACAAGGCCCTGGGATGAGGCTTCTTGCCCTAGCCTATGAAAAGCCACATCGGTGATGAAGGTAGGGGAGGGACACCTCCTGTGCTGCAGCCCCCTCCCCACCACCTAAGCCCTGTGCACCCGAGCTTCTGTGGCACTGGCAGTGAGCTCTCAGAAGGCTGGGACTGACTGGTCATCTTCATGGCCCCTGGACATGGCCCAGAGGAGGCACTAAGCCATTTCTTGCTGAACTGTGCTACTGGCAGCCCTGTCCCCCACCACATGATACCCACCAGCATGTGCTTCTATCTGCTTCCAGCCCCACAGGCCCTCTTGATATAGGTGAGGCAGGTTATATATTGAACCTATTTTGCAGATAAGGACACTGAGGCCCTGCAGGCCCCAGACACAAAATTTCATCAGTGGCAGAACCAGAGGGTATGCAGACATCTCTACCCAGGCCAGCAAAAGCACCCACCTGACCCTGCCCTACACCCCCCCCCCACACCATGGACCACAGTGAGCTTCCACTGGAAGCCCCCAGCTCCCTCACTTCTGCCTGTGTCTTCCCTGCAGGGTCACCCTCTGCCTCAGCTCCACAGCACCCTGGGCCACTCTAGGGCTACTCTTTCCTCATTGGCTGCAGGCTCACTGGGACAACCAATCAGGTTGCCCCACCACCCAACAAAAGCAAAGAGATTCGTGACTGAGACGGGTCAATCAGAGTGTGTCTGGGACCACCTGTCCTGCCACAGTCTCTGAACTGAAGAGCCAGGGCTCCTCCCTGAGTCTATACCTGGCAAGGCGACCTGACATTTCCTTTCTCAGGCCTCCCCAGCTGCCCTGGTCTGTGGCTTCCCCTGTGATTCTGTGAGCTGCTCTGGATCTCCCAGGACAGGGTTTTCTGTTCTGCTCAGAGAGTGCAGAGAGACCCATCCTTGTGAGGGTCCAATCTGGGCTGGAGACCTAGAGAATGCAGGTTGGGAGACAGCACAGGCTGAGGCCACCTGGGGACATACGGGCCGATTCTCAGCCAGGCCACCCTGTGCATAGTCCCCAGTACTGTTTCCATACCACAGCAGCTGGCACGGGCAGCAGGAGTCAGCACACCCTCAGGGACACTAGACTGTTGGGATTCAGACAGGTGAGCAGGACAGAAGTGATGGAGAACAGCAAAGCCAAGGAGCCTGGTGGGCTCACGTCTCTCACAGGCACCCTCAGAGTGCAAGTTCCACCAGACCAGGGTGCACAGAGCCCTGCATAGAGCTGGAGAGCAGGCACAGGATCAGCTGCCCACAGCATTGGCTGAGTGACACAGCAATGCCTATCAGTCTGATTCAAAGCCATTTCTGATGTGCCAATCATGGTACACCTGCGGAAGTCCAGCCACATCTGGGCTTTCCACAGAGGGTCCTTCTGCACTTGAGCTTTAGAGAAAAGGCTAGATTCTAATAGGGGCCCTGCTGCTCAGGTCAGCAACTACCACACGCCTTGGTTAACCCTTATCACTGGGTGCAGTGGCTATGAGCCTGTCTCCCTCACTAGACTGAGTTCCCTGAAGCTGGGACTGTGTCTTTGCATCTTTGAAATTGCAAGGTGCCATCCCTCAGCACTCAGTGGCCCTCAGGAAATGATCGCTGAATGAATGAATGATGAACAAATGGATGAAAGTAAAAAAGTGGATCCAGCCCCTCCCAGGAGGATGTGAGACAAGGCCAAAATGAGCTTCCTTGTCCTGAGCCCAAGGTCCTGGCACTGACAGTTCCTGGCAATGAATCCCTATAAAACCCAGAACTGTTCTAGGCTTCAGATCTCAGGCAAGCTGCAGCCAATATGTTCTCATAACATTAATGCCATAAAAATAAAACACCTGTCTCTGGGAAACAAAAATATCATGCATTATTCAGCTGCAATCCTTAGTTCACAGAAGACCATATTTGAAAGGATCAATCACTGAGAAGTAGGTAGCAAAATGTGCTATCTTTTAAGTGATAGTTTATTTTTCCTTAAAAATAAAACAATGAAAGAAGTTCTCAAGGAAACATGTCCGGTTGAAACTCCCTGAGGACCCTTGTGCACATGGCCAGAGCTGTCAGTGTCCCCCTGTCAACTGCAAAAGAAGGGCCCCTGGCCCCAGGGGAGGCCCTGGGCAGGTGAGGGCTGTGGCCCAATCTCACTTTAGTCCTCAATGCAGCCGTCCTCTTCTGCTCCCCAGGGCTGGCCCTGTCACGGGAGCTCAGGTCCCCTCTGCACCCACCACATTCACCTGCTCATGGGTTTGATTCCATGGGGTTCTCACCCTCACTCCTCCGCCCCCAGACTCCTGGCTCCCACTTGTAAAACCTGAATGTTCTCTGCTTCTTTCTTGGGAGTCTGGAATAATGATCAGTAAATAGAGATTATTTTCTAAAGTGAGAGCTGGCCCTGGGAGGCAGCTGTCACACTACAGGTAAGACAGCAGAGTGAGAGATTCCCATGGGCCAGACTGGCCACTTAGAGAGAGGAGCTGGAGGCAGCAGGATGTGCTGGGCACACAGCAGAGAGACCCAGAGGGGTCTGTGCAGAGGTGCACCAGCCTGTACAGCCCGAGGGGCACGTCCCTGGGGGGCACAGTGGGTGGGGGTACAGCGCCTGGCTGTGGCTCTGCAGGGAATCTCTGGGAACCTGGGAATCTCCTCCAGCCACACCTCCATGCACTGGCGCCAGCCCACTCCCCGAGCACTGCACAGAGCAAAGCTTGCAGATGTAGCTGCCCCAGGTGGGTGCCGGTGAGGGGGTGGGGGAGGGACAGAGGAGTAGAGACAGGGAAGGGGCATACACACAGGCATGTTTGGGGCCTCATGGATGCCAGGGCTCAGGCAGGGGCATGCAAGCTTTGCTCGGGATGAGAGCTGGGGAAAGAAGGGCTGGCCAGGATAGCCTCAGGAGCCACGGGGTGGACAGAGGCAGAGACAGGCCCCTTCCCAGTGGGGCTGTGGTGGAGGAGGGAAAACATGACTCTCAGCCCTGGGGGCCCCTTTCCTCCCTCAGGGCACAGTTGAGGGACTCCCAGGGACTGGAAAGCCCAAGAAGCCTGCACCATTTGTCATCCCCACTCACAACACTTAGAATTCTTTCCAGAGTAATTATCTCATCGATTTGCTGGTGACAAATTTACTGCTCTTGCTTTCACATCAGAAAAGATGCCCTGTGGCTGGAGTAACGCACAGAATGTCAGCTGCCCAGCACTCACAGCCTGGTTTTCACAGAAGCCCCCAAGTTCCCTGAGAGGAGCTGCCTCTCCACGTTCAGCCCTGAGGTTGAGGTGCCAACTGCACCCCAGAGCCAGGACAGGCCCGGAGGCATGGGTCCAGGCTGACAGAGAAGCCCACTTCACCATCCCAGCCTGAATCACTGCCCTCCTCACCAGGGCAAAGGCCTCTTCTGAGCAGGTGGGACAGGGACTCTCCCCACAGATGGGCCACCCCCCAGCTGCAGCCATTCTGCCCCTGGGAGGACAGAGTTGATCTCGGCAGGAAGTCATTACAGAGGACCATGGGTGAAAAGGAGAAACCGGGTCCCGGGGATAGAACTGCCAGACCATTTCTGCAACATCAGGACATCCAAGGTCTGGACATCACAGTTCCCTGAATAAATAAATCCCTATCTGCTTATACCAGTTGCATGGGGTTTTCTGCCACCTGCAATTGCAGGGCCTCAACAAACATGGGTCAGGAGACCCTGATGACAGCAGGTTGTGTGGGTGGAGTCCCCTCCCCCCAGAGACACCCATTCTACCTCCAGATGGACTGGCCCAAAGAACATCAGGGGCTGCTCTCTCTAGGACCTCCTTGAGAGGTGGATCCTGTCTTCATGCTATTCTGCAGGTGGGGACGACCAGGCATTGAGAGTTAAAGAACTTACAAGGTCCCAGCAGGTCAGAGGGTCAGAGGGTCAGCAGTCTGGTTCAAGGATTCCCCAGCTGCCTTTCTGCCTGTGAGCAGCCCCAGAGAACATTGGCAGACACCCCCCACCTTAGACTTGGGGCCTGAGGCTGCTCACGGTCCTTGGTTCACATTGTAGGGGGTAGACAAAGGGCCAAGTGAGGAGGTGACACTGGAACTGCCCCTGAGATCACAAGGACCCTGAGCAAGCCAAGGGCTCAGGTGACGGTCTAGGGTCCAGGAGTGGCCTTAGTGGCCTCAGAGCAGCCCTTGGCAGCAGGGCTACAGGCCCGCAGTGGCCAGAGGTCACTTACTTGAAGGCACTGGGGTCTCCGTGTATCTTATAGTTGTCAGCGCTGATCTGTGAAATGACCCTGGTCACAGCAACAAGGATGCCAATGTTGACCTGCATGAGGAGACCAATAGAATAGTGAGAGGGGCTGGGTTGCACCTGTGCAGGGCCGAGGCCAGCTGGCTGCTGCCCTCCCCACTGCCACTCTGCCCCACCAGGGCTCCCAAGCACACCAGGATGTCACCGGGGCAAATCTAACCCCAGTTCTTGGCCATTTACCAACAAGCAACAGAGAGCTTGCCTCTGAGAGCTCCTGCACTGCAGAGAAGACAGAAGAGACATGATCCAGGCCCAGGGACATGCTGGGGCAGGAGGCAGATCACGCAGACATCAGGCCCTCAGCCTGGGGCTTAAGCCTCATCTCAGCATGGGTTCACTGAGGGGGATCCTGGGGAATGCCCCTCAGCCCTCTGGACTTCACTCCCCATTTGATAAGAGAAATTAAGATGCCCATGGCTCAGAGATGAGGAATCCCACTCACAGTGCCCGGCTCTTGTCTTCTGCCCAGGCCTGTGCTGTGTGAGCCAGGGAGGTCACAGCAAGGGAGCCTCACTGTTTGACCCCCACTTGCTGGGGACCTTTGTAAGGCTCACTGGGGAACAGGGGTGGGGGCCAGGGTGGATGATCCCTGGTGAGGCTCCAGCATGACCTGTTCCTTCCCCCGAGCAGTTCCCCATCATCATGAATGGCGGGTACAAAGCAGTAGACAGCAAGGGAATGCGAAGGCTTGTAGTCCCCTCTGCTGCACGGTCCACCACTGGTTGGCAGGGCTGTGCCATGTCCAGCTCTCTCCCTTGTTTTTGCAAAATCCTCAGTGAGGGTCTAGCTCCAGGCTCAAATCCTCTCTGTGAACCTTCAGGCCTGGCCACAGGCAATTATAAAGGCACAACCTAGCAGGTCTCCCAGGGCAGCTGCTATCCCCACACAGCCTTGGTGCAGAGCCAGAGCCTGGCAGTCTCTAAAGAGAGTATCAGGAAAACTGACTCTTGCTCCACCAGCCTCGCTCTCACGCACGTGGGCATTCCTGGCATGGTGCCTGCACCCCACGTGCTGCTCTGACTCGGCACCTGGTGCCCTTCCACTCTGAGTCCCCCCTCCCCCCATCTTATTCCAGCTCCAGGCCCCATACATCAGCCAGAGCCTCTTGTTCAGGGAAGAGAGACAGCCCCACTCCTTGCGCTGCCCCCAGGAGAAGGCGCTCAGTGCAGCCTCTCGTGCTGCTGCGGTCAGTGGACATCACCAGTCACCCCACAGTGGGCTCATCTTAATTGACCATCTTAGCACCTGCGGCTCAGCCATCTCCCAAGTTCAGCATCCCAAGGTCAGACTACCTCATTCCCCTTATTTTCTCATCTGTAAATGAGGCCAATGACAGACGTCTCCAAGGCCAGCGAAGAGGAAGGGAGTTAATAGCTAACCAGCCAGTTCTGTGTCTGCACACAGAAAATGCCCAGCATGGAAATGCCCTCTGGCCTCCCTTACTGGCTAGCTGTGCCTCAGTGCCCAGGAGGTCACACTCACTAGGCTGGGTAGGGGCAGCATGGGGCAGGGTGCCATCTTCAATGCAGTTGCACTCCCACCCAGCTGGTAGAATTTGTCAGTATTCCTTTTTCTCTACAGATTTTTCTGGGTTTTCTCTTTCTCTCTGTCTCTCTGCCTTCCAGTCAGTGTTGTCTGCCATGCACGTTTGTTCTTCCTCATGGGGACAGCTGCGGCAGCATGAGCAGAGTGGCAGCTGTCCACAGCCTCCGATCCTGGGTAAATGCTACTAGTGGGAGATGGCCACTGCGAGTGACACAAATCTAGCATCTTGGGAAAATACAAAACAGAAGCAGGCCTGGCCTCCTCACTCCATGTCACTCAGCCACCGTCTGTAGCTGGCACACAGTGCTCCTTTATTGTACTGCAAATCAGCAAAGGCCCCAGGGTGGAAGAAGCAATCCAGGGGCCACATTTCAGACGGAGAAAACAGGATGTGCCCCGTGACAGCGACACGTACCACGAAGGAGGAAATGACTGCCAGGGGATTCTGGTGTCCTGTTTCTTGCCCTGGCTCAGGGTCACCTGGGCATTTATATGTGGCAAGTCCCTGGATGTCTGCCACTGTCTTACCAGGTAAGGGTTACACCTGCACATGTGTACAGATGTGCAGGGCACATACTATGTGCCTCAGTCCACTTTCTGCTGCTGTGACAGAGGACCACAGCTGGGTAATGTAGGAAGCGTGCAGCTTTATTTCTTGCTGGGAAGCCCCAGGTCTAGGGACTGCATCTGAAACATCAGGTGAGGGCCTTCCTGAAGCATCTTCCATGGTAGAAGGTGGAAGATGAGGAGAGCAACAGCAGAGAGGGGGTTGGGGGTGAAACTCATCTTTTCATCGGGAACCCAACCCCAATTACCAACCCCTTCTCACATGGCAGCATCAGTCCAGTCATGAGGGCAGAGCCTCTGGACTCATCAGTCACCTCCTGGAAGCTCCACCTTCAACACCAATGCACTGAGGATGCTTTCCAACATGGGCCCTTTGGGGGGAGCATTCCCACCACAGTGGTACGCAGCTGTGCCTGCATCTGTCTTTATGAATCGGTATCTAAGCAGATCTATATATGGATCCCAGCTCATAATGGTCTGACTTACAAATTTCAGCCTCACCGTGGTGAGAAAGTGATACACATTTAGTAGAAACACAGTTTCTTTGTGCTTTACGTACCCACACAGCCATTCTGTTTTTCACTTTCAGTGCAATATTCAATAAATTTCATGTGGTACCTCACACTTTATTATAAAATAGGCTTTATGTTAGATGATTTTGTCCAACTGCAGCCTAAGGGGAGTGTTCTAAGTATGTTTAAGGTAAGCCGGACTAAGCTGTGGCATTTGGTGGGTTATGCACTTCCAACTTAATGTTTTCAGTTTATGATGGGTTTACTGGGACTTAACCCCATCATAAGTCCAGGAATATTTGTATTTACCTGCAGCTGAATCTGTATCTATATTCATGTTTATCTGGTTGTGTCTATTTCTACATATCTGTGTGTATAACAGTGTCTGTGTCTGTCTTTCCTTGTATCATCTATGTGTCTGTCCATATTTATATGTCTTTGTGTCTGAAACTGTATATTTACCTTTATCTGTAACTATGTATATGTCTCTATTTGTATCCGTGTGTCTGTATCTGTGAATCTGTCTGCAGTTGTATCTATGTACTTGTGTCTGTAATTGTTTCTACATTTACCTTTATTTGTAACTATGCATCTATGTCTAGGTGCCTAAGTCTGTAACTGTATCTGTATCTGTCTACATTTGTATCTGTGTGTCAGCATCAGGGTATCTGTCTGTATCTATATTTACCTATATCTGTATCTATGTATCTGTCTCTATTTGTACCTGGGCATCCATATCTGTGTACCTATCTGCATCTTTATCTATGTGTCTATAACTGTACCTGCATCTGCCTCAATATAGACGCCCACCCCCCCTTGGCTTCTCCTCAGGGGAAGTAGGGATTTTAGCTTTTCTCCACACCTGGAGGTCCCTCCTCTCCCCTTTCCTCTCCTCAGTGGGCCCAACACAGAACAAGTCACTTTGAGGGCTCAGGCCAAGGTGCCCATCATATCTTTGGTGGTGGTGGTGATGGGGTGTCTGTGGCTTCTGTAAAATCAGGTACTATGTGATGAAATCTGGCCCCTCCTAATTCACATGCTGAAGCCCTAACCACTTGTACCTCAAAACCAAACTATATTTAGAGATAGGCTCTCTTAAAACGTTAAAATGAGGTCATTAGGGTAGGCTGTAATCCACTATGGTTTCCTTAAAAGAACAGGAGATCTGGACATAGACACACATGAAGGGAAGGCCACTCAGAACCCAAGGAGAAGACAGTGCAAGAGAGGTCTCCCAAGAAATCAAACCTGCTGACACTGAGATCTTGGATGTCTGGTTTCCAAAGCTTTGAGAAAATAAATTTCCTTTGTTTAAGCCACCAGGGCACTGTGGTCCCATGGGCATGTTTGTCTTAGGCGTAATTAGAACACCTCACAAATAAGTCTGTTTCCCTGCATCACGGAGGACAACCTGAGAAGGCTCCGTGTGCATCTGGCAGTTGAGATGACAGGCAGGAATGTCACCAGAAGGGACTCGATTGTGCCCCTTCTCCCTAGCGCCAGGCCCACCAGGCCCTACACAACCCTTTACAGTCATCGAATTCCTGCCCCTTCAGGACAAACTTCACCAGGACACTGGGAAACCACATGTCTCAGCTTTCTGCAGTGCTTTACTTTAAAATTATGCAAGCAATAGATGGGTGGTTTTAGATGCATGTGGTTTCGAAGCACAACCCCCCTCCCATGTCTCCCCTTAGGGAGCCATTATTTGCTGTGCACCTGTCCACATTTCCTTATCTGTGTGCTCACAGGGGCATGCGCACCATGTGGAACTTTCAGCATCACAAAGTGGGTGTGCAATGCTAGTTATCTTGCGGCGTGCTTTCTTGTTTGGCAAGACATAACCCAAGGCAGCATGAACCATGTGATCCTCTGGGAGTGGAGGGAAAGGCACAAGGCTCCCCCTACCCCATGCCAGGATGCAGGACAAGTGGGGGAGGCATGGGGTTGGCAGGACCCTCCACAGTGCCCTCTGGAACAGGGTTCAGCATGCCTTCCGCTAAGAGTCAATTATTAGGGAGTTTCAGGTCTGTGGGCTACACAGTCTCTGTTCACTATCCAGCATGGCTGGGGAAGCCTGAGAGTAGCCTCAGACAGTGTATAAAGTGGGGGCAGTGGCCACACGCTGGTAACACTCCATCTACAAAGGCAAGCACTGGGCCACACTGGCCACAGCTGGCTGACCCCTGTGCCTGGCCATGAACTCACATGAGGCTGCCCTCAGCCTTTCCAACTCAGGCCACTGCTGGTGAGACTCACCTGGGAGGGTATAAAGGCCTAAAGCCCAGGTCCAAGAAGACAAAACCCTCCAGAGGGTGCAGTTCAGGCAGGAAGGATTGACAAGGAGTGGGGGTGGGGACCTGGAGGCCATCCTTGCCCCCACCCCACCCCCACAACAATGACACAGGGGTGGTGGCAAGCCTGGGGCCTGAGACTAGACCCCATACTGTGGCAGGTGAGAGGGAAGGATCCTGGTTGAACAGCCTCAGAATCTCAGGCAAGACTGTCACTAGAAGGGACTTCTCCTTAATTCCAGGCCCACCAGGCCCCACACAACCCTTTAATGTCACCCCAATTCCTGTTCTTTCAGGACAAACTTCACCAGGACACTGGGAAACCACATGTTACTGGCCAAAGGCAGATGTGAAATTCAGACCCCGGGAAAGGTCTGAGACAGGCCGACTCTGCCCACACCTCGCAGTTGGCTCAGAGAAAGGGACAGTAAGGAACTGCATACTTAGTATAGTTACTTTCCTGCTCACTGTTGCCATTAAATTGCCCTTAAAGCCCTTTCCAGGTGGCTCTGCTGTGACTGGGAGTCTGATACTGGGGGGACTGAAGCCGTCCTGAACAATTTCTACAAATTGTCCCCCTGGGCCCCAGAGAGCCAAAGGGAGGAGAGAACAGACATCCATAATTCCTTACAAGGCTGGGCTAGCAAGGCAACTGCAGATGACCCTGTGGAGGCCTAGGGACAGCTGCACAGACCTGGACTTGAGAGGCTCCATGGCACATGACAGGTGCCACATTCATAGCAGAGCGATTAGCAGAAATGCAAGTCACCTGTACTCAAGCTTGTGCCAGACTAGAGGACCAGGCTCCTTCCTGCAGGGAGTCCCCCAGCAGGGCAGGGGTGGCTCACCTGGACAGGTTCCCTGCCCCTGCTGGCTCAAGCTGCCTTTGGCCCAGGGAGCTGGTCCTGTCTGTGTTCCTCAGGATCTGCCAGCAGGAAACCTGGGCCAGGCCCAGCAGCGTCCTTCACATAGTAGCTCTTGGTGTCCCCCCAGGCACGTGCCCCTCCTCTGCTGCCAGTGCCTATCTCTCCAGGGAACCCCCTCCCCATTCCTCTGCATATGGCTGGGGGAGCATTGATCCCCTAACTCTGCCCCAGGATTGGAGCTGTGACCCAAGCCAGGCCAATCAGAGTATCCCCTCTGCTGGCCACAGTAACTCATAATGGACACAATCCTCAGGGCCATCAGAAGCGGCAAAACTCAACCCCAAGCCTTGGAGAATATGGAACAATAGTGGCATCCCAGGAGCTGTTGCTGCTAGACTCTCATGGGGACCCACAGCCTCCCAAGGCCTTGGGTGCCTATCTGGGACAGAGGACTCAGGGCAGCACAGGGGCACTCTGAGCTGGGTTTTCTATACTACACCCGGAACCTGAGCTGTGCTGTTGCCTACACCGAGCAGGACCTGAGTTGCCCTGTCACCTGAATCTAGCATCCAAGCTGTCACTTGAACCCGGCACCCTATCTTCCTGTCCCCTACAGCCAGCTCTCTAGCTGTGGCATGGTTCCCAGGAGGCAACTGCTGACACTACTGCTACAGCCATAGGTCCACAGGGCCACTGCAGGGTCCCTGCAGGCTCAGCTGGGACAAGCTCTCCAAGTCTTTCCAGGTCGTTCTGGGAGGTGAGACAGAGTCACCTCCCTACCAGGAGCTGTGGCAGGTGACACTGTACCCCTGTAGGGGACATGACCCTGGGGAGCCCAGCAGCCCCTTATCCCATCCTCCTCAGCCCAGCTCTGCACCCACATGGGCAGGGAACTTACCACAATGACCAACAGGGCAGGGGCAACGAAGGCCCAGATGGCGCCACTCTGCAGCGACAGCCAGCAGCTGTGGAGGGAAGCAGAGCTGTTACTCCAGCCATCCTGGGCCCCTGCCCTGGCTGCTAGGATCACCTTTGGCAGAAAGCAAAGCAGTTGCTAAGATAGTGTCTTCCCCAGTGCAGGGCCCACCAGGGGCATAGTCATAATAACGCTCAATTCCAACAGATCTTTTTTATCCAAGATGATCTCACATCTCGTTCTTGGAAAGGATTTTCCAGGTTTGCAGACTAGGTCAGCAGTCTCTGGAGCATGTAGCCAAAATCCAAAGGAGATTTTAATTTCATTATGAAAAATAAATAAGCCTTTGCCAGGGACTGGCTTGCAAAGCATTTCAAATATGAACTAATAAGCGTCTTCTATGAGGGTTGGGGTGTTGTCACATGGTGTAGCATCTGCCATTTTCATCTGCCCCAAACTCCTGGTCACTCATGCCCCCTCAGTGGCTCCCAAGTGGGAGAAAAGACTCCATAGTGTCCTGGTGACTACTTTGATGTCCCAGGATGTAGGGTCCAGTTTAAGGATCCAGCCTTCAAGACTGCCCCCCAGAACAGTCAAAGCAAGAATGCTCCTTTGAAAGCCCATCTCTTTCTAGAGCCTCACTCTAGATCCCTGGGGAGCTCTCACTTCTCAGCTCACCTGGGACCCTAAGTGTTTCCAAGAGTATCTGGGATGCCTGACGCTGCCCTCAGTAGCACACAGCGTGCCATCTCTGCCTACAGTTCACTCACTTGGTGACCACTTACTGAGAGCACGTCTACCCCATATCACATCAAAACGCTGCATACAGTGTCCTCTCGTGTCATCCTAGGTGCCCCCTGGCAGTGCAAGGGTCACTCCTGCCCTGCAGAGGAGGAGCCTGAGGCCCAGGAGGCTCCGTGACCCCCAGGGCCTCTCCTGAGCACATCCACTGCCCTTCTGCCCAGTTCCTCCTGACACCTCCTGGACCAGGAGACACTAAATGTCCCAAACAAGTGACAGCGAGAGGCCCACTTGTGCCTGGACGCCCACAACATGGAGAGGAGAGACCTCTCGTCTGTGGAGGCAGCGGTTAAGAGGAAAAACACAACAGGTCAAACCTGGGCTCTCAGAAGTTGATGACTCTGCAAATAGACAAATTGTGCCAGCTGCTCCCAGGCAGAAAGCAGGAGAGGCTCCGGTCAGAGCCGGAGCCTGCGGCCTAGCGCTGGAGGTGGGGGGGAGACCCAGCACCCACACGCTCCAGATGGAGAAAATCAAACAAATGCCATCGAGTGTGTTCAAGAAGAACATTCTTCTTCTAATTAGTGCCTCAGCTTCTAAAAGCATCCAGGATTGAAAAGAACAGGCCAGAACAATGGTCTGTTTAATCATTCTTATTTCAAAACGCTCTCAGACAATGCTTCCTGTAAGGGCCTCGTCAGTAAATTGTTGCGCTGAAACAGAAAAGGATGGATTTCTCCCAGTCTCAGGGCTCCTCTGGAAGCTCATTTCATCCTGAGTTTGTAAAGAGTCTAACTCTCTCTTCTTAAGTACTCTCTGTAATGTTTCCCTTTCATGTTTTTATTTGCTGGTATCTCTGCCTGACTGAAACAGTAGCTTTTTAAAGACATTTGAGCTAAAGCCTCTTTTCTTGTAAGGAAAATCCTGTTTCTAGAACTTGAACACATGATCTGGCCCCACGAACTATCGCATCCTATTCTTGGTTCTGCTACGAGCCCATTAGCTGCATTTCAGGTGGAACTTGGGACCTTGGACATAAAAATCCCAACCCTATTACTGAAGCCCAGGGCCCTCACGGCCCACGTGCCTGGCACACATCAGACCTCCTTCCTTCAAGCACTCGTGTGGTCCCTCCACTTCAGCTTCCTGGGCACTTGCTGACTGCCACCCCAAAAGGTACAGGTCACATGTGTGGGCTCCACAGGTGACCAGGACAGTGTCTGCAGAGTCCACATGGATGAAAATATTCCAACCAGGCACCCCTGCCAACTGCCTCTCCACCCTGGAGGCACCGGACATCTGGTTGCTAGTTCCAAGGCTGGAGGTGCCCAGAGCAGAGCTGGGCTGTTGTTCCTCACTGTCTGGGCCTGGGGGAGCTGAAGCCACAGGGGCCTCACAGGGACCTTTCCCAGTGCAGCCTACCAAGAATGATGGGTGCTCAGATGGCACCTGTCACTTACTTGTCACTGGTCCCATAACTGTCGATGGCAGACGACACTGAAATGATGCAGATCAGAAGAGGGAGGCCTGCAGAGAACCAAACGCATCACGTGAAGCCTCCAGGTCCCTTTGCTCTCTGGCCTGTTATTCACTTCACACCTGGTGCAGGCGGGGAACTGTGTGCTCCGTGTTGGGGGTATAGAATGGCCCGTATCCCCAGGGAAATTATAGTCTGAACAAAAGAAGACAGCATACATCCACACACCTGCTCCCACACCCCTCACACTCACGCTGACAAACGTGTTAGCTGAGGGAGTATAGAGCCTGGTCAAGGCAGATGCTTGGGTGAGATGTGGCTCTGTGGTGCCAGGAAGGGAAGCCCAGCTGGGACTGTCCAGACCCAAGGCTCCCAACCAGGGCCAAGGCAGCTCCACAGGAGACAAAGGCATTTGGGGGCTGTCATAACAGGGGGTGGTATCTGGTAGGTACAGACCAGGGACTCTGCTATACACCCTGCAATGCATGGGAAACCCTCCAAACAGGAATTATCCAGCCCACGTGAGTGTCAGCAATCTGGAGTGGCAGAGGAGGCGGGGTGACGCGCACATAGTCCACACGCTTCTAGTGTCTGAACCTGTCATTTCCATGGGGAACTCCACTGCATCACTCCAGGTGGCCCAGGTGGGCCAGCCTCTTCCTGGCTCTGATGGCAAGTGACCAAGGACTGGCTAACTGGATCTCAATGCCCTAGCCACAGCTTTTGGCTTGGGCATGGGCATGTGACCCTGGGTGGACCAACGAGTTGTAATCAGGGACTTCCTTTGAGGCTGCTGACAGAGCTCTCTCTTCTCCACTGGACCCCCAAGGGGCTGAGAGTGTTAGACTGGGGTTCAGGTGGCCACCTTGGTACCATGGGGGAGAGCTCACAGCCCCAACACAGAGGAAATCAGGATTGAGTGATGGAAAAGGCGGGCAAAACTTTTTCAGGTTGCCTAACCTCCTGCATCAGTGCCTTGAGTCCAACACCTGACAGCTTTTTTGTTACATGAGCCATTGAGTCCCCTTTTATCAGCTCATACCAGTTTGAGTTGGATTTTTATTCCTGGAAACTGAATGTGACAAATTAAATGTGCTTAATATTTTACAAAGCCATATCAGACTTTGTTTGGGAGGGTGGGAGTAGAGGTGGTCTAAGACTGAGGTAGGAAGATACCTGGCTCAGCAATTCTCAGTGCTTCCAGCCACTCTGCAGAGAAAACCTTCTATGATCACACGACTTTTAGAAACTCTGACCTAACCAACAGTCAGTCAGCCTCTAATTCCACTTTTGATACTCAGATGTTTCATGTGCCAATGTATCTCAGACTCTTCTGCAACATTTCCCAAGCTCCAATGCATGGAATTTATTCTGGAAACCCGGCTCTCCACCTCCATACACAGTCATGAACTTTGAGGCAGATCCTTTCCAAACCTGATTCAAAATTGAAAACAACACACTCCTACATGCTCAGAAAGTGGGTTATTGTCCATGGGGTCTGTCTGGTGTAGCCCCACTGAGGGAGGCCACCCCTGCCCTCTGCTCCCTCTGCAGGGAAGGGTGGAAGGGAAGCAAAGGACTGAGCCTCCCTCCACCTACTGACTCTGTCCCCAAAGGAGATGTGCTGCGTATCCCAGGCCCCTGGGATGGAACGGCTGTGGCTCACTAGCGCCCTCTGGTGGAAGAATCAGCTCCACACCTCCCCTTCAGAGAACCAGGGTTTTTGTTTTTTAATTAATCACCCTGAAAAGGTGTCACCCTAGACAGTCCTGTTTCTGAAGCACTTTGTTTTAAATGTCAAAACAGTTTCAATGTATTACAGAATGTCTGGGCAATAAAGCCATCCACAGAGAAGACTAGGTGGACTTTGGGACTTGGGTGGACAGCCTGGGAGGTGGGGACGGCCTTTCACAGTGGTCACTCTGCACTTCCCATGTGCCAATCCCTCTGCCTCTCTGCCCCTGCACCACCCCTGAGAAGAGAGTGGCCCTCATCTGCTTTCTCCAAGGCATCAGGGTGAGTGATTGTGTGCAGGTTTTTAAGAAGAAAAATTTCCCAGGTGAGAGGAAGAGGGGAGTTGCGTCAGGATGGAGAAGATAGCAAGTGGGAAGAGCCTGGGGTTCGGGGCCAACACCACTACCCAGGCTAGCTGTGTAGCTTCAGGGAACTGGCTGAACTTCTCTGGGCCTTTGTATTCTTACTGAGGAAATGGAGGTGACAAGTCCCTCCCTTCACTGCGGTGGACTCCTAGAACTGTCTATGAGTAATAAGCCCTCAGTATCTGAAGCATGTCCCTGCAGCAATCTCTATCATCAGCTGGCCAGGCCCCGCCCCCTACTGCTGGCATCTGAAACTCACAGCCTGATACCCAGTCTGGACCATGACAGGTTTCTGCGGACAGTTGGGATCTCTCTGGCCTGTCATCACAGATATTTACTCAGTGTGTTCTTCTCTGGGACATGGTAACTTCCAGAAGGTCCAGGCTGCTGCTTTCCTTGGCTTCTGCCTCCTAACATTCATGGGCAGGCAACTGTGGGGAGTGTGTGTTGGAAATATTGGCCAAGACAGCAGAACAAAGGCCTGTGAGGATAGGTACAGGGATGAGGTGTCCCGACAGCGGGGGCAGAGGGAAAACCACACCAGAGCGTGCAGAAGTCACTGGTACCACCTGCCCTTCCAGATGCCCCACACAGGGCACATGGGAGTTCACGCTCCTGCCCAGACCTCCTGGGGCCACAGGGCTCATTCTAGACTGGAGTTGGGCTGAGCATTTATCTCTGGCATAATGTCCTCCATGTCCCCTTCTGTCACACAGCAACTGGCAGTGGCAAGAGGTAGTGACTTTTCCACCACTCTGGGCTTCTGACCTCCTTCCCTCTCCCCACTGCTGACCCACCAAGGGCACATAGAGTCCACAGGAAATGATCATGTGTTGTTTAAAACTGGTGAGTGGGACAGGCTGTTTGCCCCAGCATTGCCCAACCTGCCCTGATGGACACAGTTTCCACAGTTCTGGCCCTCTGTAACTGATGGGGACTGGGATTAACTATGATCAAGTTTATCCCCAGATGACTGGGAGATTTCAGGAAAGAAATTAGGTTGCAATAGAGAAAATAAAACAGGTTACATTTCTTCCCCACCTGAGTTCGTGATCAGATCAGACACAGCTCTGTCAACATGAGAACTCCCAATTCTTGTCATTCTTCTCCTCTCCTGGCTTCCTCATGGGCAGAGATTATGTGTCCCTCATCGCTGCTCCCTCCCAATTCCTGGCACAGGGCCCAGAGGCCAAGTGAACCCAAAGAGAGCAGCCACTGGCTGGACACCCTCACCCCCTCAGCTTCAGCCTCTGGGTTTCTACAAGGACAGTGTTCAGAGCAGTGATTTTCAACTGGTGTGCCGTGAGCAGTGTGTTGCAAATTTTTTTAAGGATCATTAATTAAATTATTTTTGAAAGAAGTTCAAAGCATGATAAGTATATATACGTATATATATTTTTAAGTATATATATACATATATATATGTATATATATACATATAATATATATATATATTTTTGAGCAACGTAATTTAAGTGTGCCAAGAAGTTTAACTATAGGTTCTAGTGTGCCATGAGGGAACAAAGATTGAAAAACACTGACATAGAGTTTACACTGGGGCTGGGGCAAGTCTACAGGCAGACACTGCCAGCCCAGAGCTCTCCACTGCGGGACCTCACTGCTCCAGGAAAGCCTCCTGCCCATGATTAGTAACTGCAGGCTGAGAGGGCTTGGTTGCTGCCTGGCACTGACCCAGCACCCGCCCAGCCCGTCAGAATGAGGGATGCAGTTCATGGGCTCCTGATGAAATTAATTAAGGGAAAGCTGGCTGGAAGACTGATGGAAGTTGCAGAAGTGACAGGGCCAGCCCGCCCTAGATGTGTAGGGAGCCTGGGGCAGGCCACTGGCCCAGCATCCCTCAGAATCCACAGTTCCTGCCACTGCCATCAAGGAGGACACATACTCAGGTGCTTGGATTCTATGTAAAAATCCCTCAATTATTTTAACATTGGCAAATGATTCGTTTTTTTTCTCCAATATTGTGCCAGTCAAATAAAACAGCCTTCTAGGCTGCATTATCTCTCCTTCTCACACACACAGGTGACGTATACCACTCACTAGGTTCCTCTGCCTCCAGAGACAAACCCCACCAACACTGTTCATTCATGCCCCCATCTTTGCTGTGCCTGTGGGTATGTTTGTGTACACCTCTGAATGACATGACCGTATCCCCAAAGAAACAGCAAACTCCAGACGGCTGTCCAGGTATCATCCTCTGAACCTCACTAAGTGAGGGCAGAGATCACAGGGAAGGGAAGCTCCTCTCTGGGGGAATCAGGAGGGCAGGAGGGGCAGATCACACTGGACCTGGGCCCACGGCAGAGAGGCTGGAGAGCAGAGGATGTCCAGCTGCAGGACCCCCATGCACAGCAGCATTCACATGATGGTCCAGCCTGAGCAGTGAGGCTGAGTGTGGGACATCCATGGTGGCCTTGGGGAGCTCCCTGAGTGGCCAGCAACAGTTTGGAGGTGGTTGCTGGATCCCCCCTCCCGTGTCCCCGGGGAAGCCATGAGGGTTGCATAATTTACCTCCACTGCATCCTCAGATAAATTATACTTTCTGATTCAGACCACAAAATAAACATGTTTTTCTGCTTTTTGCATAATGAGGACTGTGAAAATTGAACCTATTTGCAGAAAACCAGAAAGGAACCAGGTAGCAGGTCCCTAATGCCTGACCAATGGTTTATAACAAATGCAGGGATGCTGAGGCCAGTGTGCAGCCTGGCCAGCACAAGAACAGGCAAGAGCCAAGTCCAACAACCAGTCCCATCTCTGGGGAGATGATTTCCAAAATGACTATAGTCCCTGGTGAGATAATGAAAACACATAAGAATTATTTTTTAAAAAATTTAAAGTCTCTGTAAATTTCCCTAAGGGCATACAGCAAATTTTAAAAATTTTACTCAAACAGATCTACTAAATCTTGTTAAGAACAGTGAGAGTCTGGGGTGCCTGCTCCCTACCTGGCTCAGTGTGAGGGGGTCTGCTTCAAGCTGGTGTGAGCTCTCCTTCCCCTGGGCTCCCAGAATCTTCTAGGAGCAGGCAGCCTGCCTCTCTCACCCTACCCCCATGTTGCAGAAGGTCTGTTCCAGGGAAAGCAGCCAGGAAGCTGGGCTCTCTCCCTCCACCAACTTAACACACAATGTGCAGGGACTGTCCAGCACCCCAGGTTGGGACTCTGAGGCCCCACTGGGTGGAGGCTCTGTGCTGGGAGAGACGAGCACTGAGGATTAGAAGCTGCCTCCCCTGGTGCCCTGTGCCAAAAGAAGACATGTCACCCCGGGAGAAGGGGGCCACTGTCCCTGCTGCCAGCTCTGGAGAAGCACCTAAGAAACTGTCCCCAGGGAAGGAAGGCCATTGGAATAGTGAGCTTTAAAGTGTCCCCCAGAAGAACTGAATTTATTTGGCTCAGAGTGTGGGGAACTTTAAGGACCCTGGAACAGAGTATGGCCTAGGGAGTGAGCAATGATGAGGGGGCTGGCAGCCCCACGGTAGCACCAAGGTAAACCTCATGTCAGTGAGTCTACAGAGACTCAGGGAAGAGGTAAGTAGGAAGTGTCTTCCTGAGTTTGAAGAAACCTCAAATATTGGCCCCAGAAACACCCTGGATTTCAGTAGATCAAACTGGGGAGCAACACGTGGCCCAGGCTGCTGTCAGCACTGATAGAACCACCAGTTGGCAATTAGTGCACCCTACAGATGGTGTGATATAGACGTGGACAGATGGCTCAGAGCAGAGAGGGAGACGGTCAAAGTCCATTCTGCTGACACCTCTGACATCCCCAGGTGACTGTGCACATGCTCAAGGCTATGCCCTCTGGGGAGTGACACCAGGAACCTCACACTGGGTATGAAACGGACTTTTATAACTAGTTCAGCCAAGTCTCTAAACAAATACACAAGCAATAAGAAAGAAGCCATGGGAGGAGGGGTCAGGATCCAGAGTCACTACATTCTATTATCTAAAATGGCAAGTCTTCAGCAACAATACCCCCCAGAATCCCCCAGAAAATAATGAGACTTACAAAGAAACCAGTAAGCATGACCCATACACAGAGGGGAAAGGAGGCAACTGAAACTGCCTAAGAGAATGCCCAGATGTCATGTTTAACAGAAAAAGCCTTCAAAGCAGTCATTATGAATATGTTCAAAGAACTAAATGAACTCAGCCTTTAAGAAGGAAAGGGAAACATAATGATTATATCTCATCAAATGGAGGCTATCGATAAGAGATCACAATTTCCAAAAAAAGAAAAAAAGAAGAACCAAATGGAAATTCTGGAGTTGAAAAGTATAACTGAAATGAAAAATCAGCTAGAGCTGTTCAACAAAAGATCAAAACTGCAGAAGAAAGAATCAGTGCCCTGGAAGATAAACTGATGAATACTATGCAATTTGAAGAACAGAGAGAAAAAGGAATGAAAAAAAATCAATAGAGACTCAGAAAAATGTGCATGACCACTAAGCACACAAACATATGTATAATGGGAGCATCAGAAAGAGAGGAGAGAGAGAAAGAAGCAGATTCAAAGAGATAAAATTTCCCCTTATTTGATGAAAAGTACGATTTTACATACCTAAGAAACTCACCACACACAAACAGGATAAACACAGAGATAGATACCCAGAAAACCCAGAGTAAAAATGTTAATAGAAAAAGAGAAGAATCTAGAAAGAATCAGGAGAAAAACAACTGTTCAGATATGTACAAGGGACCCCAATAAGATTAAGAGCTGACTTATCATGAGAAACAGTGGAAAGAGAAAACAGTGACATGACGTTATCGAATTACCAAAAGAGAAAAGGATCTTTTATCTACAAAACTATCTTTTAAAAATGAAGGTGATGGTGAAATGTGCATCTGTAAGTAAATAAACTGATAGATGAATAAATAAATAAAAATGGAGGTAAAATGAAGACATTTCCAAATAAACAACAACTGAGAGAATTTATTATTAGCAGACCTCTCTTACAAGAAATAATTTTAAAAGTTCTTCAGGCTGAAAACAAGTGATTTCAGATAGTAATTTTAATACACACACACACACACACACACACACACACACACACACTCTGAGCAATCATGCCAGATGGTAACTCAAATTCACAGGGGGGAAAAAATGAAGAAAACCAAAAATAGTAAATAAGAAAGTTAATATAGCCAACTCTATAAATATGTATTTGCTCCCTTTCCTTATCTCAGCTTCTTTAAAAGCCCTAAGATTAAACAAGGCAATAATTACAGCAATACATTTTTGATTTGTACCTTATGCAGATGTAATATGGATCATAAAAATCACAGAAAAAGAAGGAAGAGAAAATAGGATTATATAAAAGTAACATTTATATCTCATAATTTAGTATAAATATGAACTATACTCTAATATGCTCAGATGCATATGGTAAGCACTAGAGCAACCACTAACAAAATAGCTCCAAAAGGTGAAAAAAAAATCCTTAAGAGAATTAAACTGTTACACTAGAAAACAGTCAATTCAAAAGAAAAGCAATAGAGGAGCACTAGAGAAACAAAACAGATAGTAGAATATAGAAAACAAAGAGAAAAATGGCAGCTATAAATCCATTAAACAGATCCTAATATTAAGTGTGAAGGGATTAAATGACCTAGTCAAAAATAAGAAATTGCCAGACTGGATTTTAAAAAGAACCAACAACATCCAGGAGAGACACACTTTAGATTCAAAGATACTAGTAAGTGAAAAACAAAATGCTGAAAAAGATACACCATCAACCATAAGAAGTCTGGAGTGGCTATACTAATTTGAGACAAATGGACTCAAAGATGATAGTAGAGATGAAGGGAGATATTTTATAAACACAAAAGGGGCAATTCTTCAGAAAGACATAAAAATAAACATACATAAATCTAATAAGGGACTACCAAGGGATGAAACAAAAAACACCAGAACTGAAGGGCAAATTAGATGATTAAACAAGCAGTGACTTCAATACCTCACTTAAGTAATGGACAGAAAAACTAGACAAAAGATCAACAAGGAAACAGAAGACTTTAATAACACTACACTAACCACCTAGGCCTGACAGGCCACTCCATCCAGCAGCAGCAGAATACCCACTCTTCTCAAGGGCACATGGAACATTTTCCAGGTAGATCATTTTCTAAGGCATAAAACAAACCTTAACACATTTAAAAGGACTGAAATCATATAAAATATGTTATCTTTCCCCAGTGGAATAAAATTAGGTATCAGCAACAGAAAAAAAAGAGAGAGAGAGAAATTCATGAATATATGAAAACCAAACAACACGCTTATAAATAATTAATGGATCAAATAAAAAATAGAAAAAGAAATTAGAAAATATTTTGAGATGAATGAAAATGAAAGCACACAAATGAAGCATACAGGATGTGGCTAAAGCAGTGTGTAGAGGAAAACACATAGCTGTCTGTGCCCATGTTAAAAAAGGAGCTCAACTCCGTAACCTCGACTTTTACTTCAAAATACTAGAAACGAAAAATTAGCAAAAGTAAGCAGAAAGGAGGAAATAATGAAGATTAAAACAAAAATGAATGAAATACAGAATAGAAATAACAGAGAAAAAACAATAAAACCAAAAGTTGATTCTTTGAAAAGGCCATCAAAAGTAATGAAGCAAGGTAAAAATGCTGGAAGTCTTTCCAGATGATGTGGAATTTTTGCCTTTGATTGGCTAATGGGCTCTGCTTCCCATCTTGGCCTCTTAGAGGGACCAGGTAGGACCAAGTGAAGATGAAGGCACGCCTGACCTGGCTGTCCCACTTCACCTGCTTCATCTTCACCTGTCCCATCCTTCCCACCTGCCCTGTCCCATTCTGTGTGCCCCTTCCCCTCCCTCCCAGCCCCACCCTCCTCAGCCCACCTACCCCATCCCATCGCATAGTAGTAGCGGTGTTTGCTGTCCTCTGACCCAAAGACCTTGATCACCATGCTGTAGAGGTGCAGCCCTTCCGCCAGCATCCACGCAAAGGAGCTCAGGAAGAAGTAGTGCAGAAGTATGGCCATCACCCGGCAGGGGGCCTAGGGTCAACCACAGACATAGGCGATAAGAGTGCCCTGGGGTGTGAACAGGGCTCAGCTGTCATCCCAGTGTCTCGGCACCCACTGCCTATGGCCATCTCTGTTCACGTGACCACTTTTCTTCCTAGGTGTCTTCTTATTTCTCATCAGAGTGACTTGGGTGCAGCCCATGACCCAGGGTCAGCTGGTCACTGCACTATGCCACACCCAGGTACAGACATGGGTTTAGGAGAGGGCATAGGGTTCAGGCCCAGCCAATCAGCACAATCGTGTCCAAAACACTGGCTCAGGGATGTGCACACAGCTGGCCCAATCAGAGTGGCTCTGGGGCTTGAGAGGAGCCAAAGGGGGAGGATTTCCCCAACTCAGGTGAGGACAGGACCCTGGACCTTTGGCTACCTGGAGGGGAAACACCAAGAGGGAGAGCGCTGGGAGACACGGATAGCAGGCCCTACCACATGGCCTAAACCCCTAGATTCTGAAAGGTTTAGTTCCCTGGAATTTATAGTTCTAATTTGTAGTTAGTTACCTAGGAGAAAAAGATGTCCAGGAGACTCAGTGATTCTCCTTGGGTTAACTCTCAACAAGAATCATGGACAGAAAGGCACATAGCTTACACAGGCTGGTCCTGGCTACACTTGAGGACCCCAGACTTATCCTGCTCAGTGCCCTCAGACTCTGCCAGAACCAGGCCCTACTCTGGGTATGGGAGGAAGTCCCACCTCTCTCCCTAGTGGCTGGATTTATAAGGCCACATCACTTTAGAGCAGCGGTTCTCAACCTGTGCGTTGCAACCCACAGGAACTATATTAAAGGGCTGTGGCATTAGGAAGTTGAGAACCACTGCTTTAGAGGGTCTCTGCCCTGTGCTGTCTGTGAGGTCTCAGACTTCCTAGGGTCCCAGAGATTCCCTCCCCCATGCAAAGGGCTGGTCCTCAGAGCCCCTCTGCATGCAGCATCCATGCCTGGCAGGCAGAGGTGGCAGCTCTGAAGGGCTCGAGTCCTTCCCTTACTAGCGTGACTGCTGGGCCCCAATCCCCCTATCTAGAGGCAGGGAGGACAGTGTGGGCTGTGAGGGTGGGAGGATGCTGCAGCCCTTGGCACAGAGCCTTGCACATGGTCCACAAACAAGTGTGGGCTCATGAATTTCATCTTCTCCATTTCTCCTCAATAGCCACAGCCCTGGCCACATGGGGACATAATCTGAATTCGGACCTGAAGATACTATAGGAGAAGGGACCGCCCAGAGCTGTTGGGGCAGGTGGGTGGTGGGGGACAGTGAAACAGAAAGGGTTTCATGGGGTGAGCAGCTGTGTTACTTACTGAGCCTGGCTCGAGGTGGAAGCTGATGAGCAGCAGGACCTGGGCCACCAGCACCGCAAAGGACAGGTTGGCGTGGATGTGGTAGCGCTGGTTCCTGATGGTGCTGACAGAGCTGAGGACAAAGGCAGGTGTGACGCTCCCTGGCCCCACCACATCCCCCTCCCCCCCAGATCTCTTCCTCTGGGAGCAGCCAGAAGGACTTCACAGAATCCAACCTGGCTGCTATGTCCCTGCTGTGAACCCTCCATGGCTCCCTACTGCTCTTCAGTGTGATCCTAGGTCTTTCCACGGCCCTCCCACCCAGCTGGCTCCTCGACTCAGCTCTTTTCTTTCCCACTCATGAAGCCCCTGTGTGTCTCTCATGACTCCACAGCTCGCTCCAGCATTAAGGGCCTGTGCCAGCTGGGGCAACCCACCTGCCTGAGGCTACACACAGCAGCTCAAATGCCTCCCCTGGCCACACCGGGCAGTAGCCCCTCCCCGCACCACCACAAAGATGCAAAGATGTTAATATGTGTCTTGGGCATAGTTGAGTCCTCAGGTGTGACCCCATGCCTGGGTTTGGGGGCCTTGCTAGGAGTTCAGGAGCAGGAAGGCATCCAAGGATAGCTCTGCCTGGCTCAGATCCCCCCTGGAACTCCCCATGTGTCTGGGCTGGGGCCCTTCCAGACCATCCCAGCTCAGCTCAGCTGGGGCCCCAACTCCACAGCTCTCTCCCTCTTTTATAGGCCACCCAGCAGCCCTTGACCCTCCCTTGTGCTCCAGATCTCAAACTGAGGAGTAGGTGGAACATGGGGTGTGTTGGGTACAGATAGGGCCAGGCATCCACACCAGCAGTGAGACGAACTGGGCAGGGCTCATGGTGGAGTTGACCCAAAACTGCCAAGGGACCACCTGGGGAGATCAGAGAGGACTCACGACAGCACGGCGAAGGTGGCCAGCGTGGCAGCCAGGCAGAGCACCGACACGGAGCAGCCGATGTAGCTGATGGACGACAGCGCCACCTGGTGTCCACGCGCAAGCTGGGGAGCAAAGCAGAGGTGTGAACAGGAATGTTGGAGATCTGGGTCCCACCTCCCCACCCGCAGATGGCTGCATGCTCTGCGTGTGGCCCACACCGGAAGTCACCTGCGGATCCCTCCATCTTCTCCAGCTTCCACCCTGCTTCCACCTCACCCTTCTGCCACCTGCCCGTTCACCACTGTGCCCACCCGTGAGCCCCCAGGCCCTCTTGAAGCACACGCAGCTGAGAGGTGCTGCCACCCTGAATGAAGAGTGAAGTCCCCACTCAGCCACATCCCAGCTGATGATTGACGCTTGTGACTGGCTGCGAAAGGAAAATACCAACCACTGTCCCCTTACACAGCACCACCAGGAATTCACATGTGTAGAGTGTACAGAGCAGAGCTGGGACACTGGACATGCTGTGTAAGAGCAGGCTACTGCCCCCATTGTAGGCCGGCACCCACTCTGGTCTTCATCATTGACAGGTGCTATGTATGCATCAACCAACCCCAGCATCAACCAACCCACCATCAGCCAACCTTATCATCACCCAAACCCAACCACCAACCAAACTAACCATAAACTGAACTCACCATTAACCAACCTTATAATCAACCAACCCCAACGTTACTATAAACTGAACTCACCATCAACCAACTGTACTGTCAACTAACCACACCATCTACCACACTTACCATTAACCGACCTTATCATCAACCAGTCCCACCATCGACCCATGTCTCAACCATCAAATCTTCTCCACACACTCTCATCAGAGCCACCCACAGTCAGCAGCACGCCGGGTACAGTGGGGAGCACTGAGAATGCTGAGGCCCCCGCTGCCGCCCACCCACGCCCTTCTTGCAGCCAGAGCCAGTGTCAGTGGTCAGAGCTGGGCCTTGCCAAGTAGCCATTAAAGGTGGGTTCAAGAACCATCTGTCCTGGGGGGATGACAGACCCTGATTGGTGGGGTGAGGGGTGTGAAGGGAAAACCCCCAACCTGACCACAGTGCCAATCCTGTCTCCGCCAGGTGTGGTGTACCCCCCACAGTGCCCTTCCTTTCCCACCTGCAGCTGGATTTAGAAATGCCCAGAGAAGCCAGGAGTCTGTTTCAGGACACGGATTCCTGAGTCAGAGAACGTAAATGCCACTGCTTCTGGTGCTGCACTGGGTGGGACACACAGAGGCTCCGGGGCCTGCACACAGATGGGCAGGGGGACTGGCCACTGAGGAGAAACTCTCACCTGCCATGTTCTTACCAAACTCCCTCTCAGCAGCTTTCACTGTGCCACCCGAGACAACGAGAAACATGTCACTGTTTCCCCCAAAGCTGATGGACACAAACACACGAGGAAGGGGCACTGCCTGCCATGGGGGCTGCAGGGTGTGGCAGGACGGTGGCAGCGTCTCCTGCCTCCAGCCAGGACGCTCTTGGCATGGCCAGATCGTCTTCTCTGCATTTTCTTGAAGCAGAAATCCAAAGTTTTAGATGAAATATTTGGGTTTTGAAATATTGACAACTAAATTTAAAACTCTGTGGGCAAAGGGTATCCCATCCACTGGCCAGAGTCAGCCTCAGACCACAGCTTGTGACTGTCCCATTAACACGCTTTTCCCTGCACTCGCTGGGTGCTGGACAGGGCTCCTGAGGGAGTAGTTTTTCCCAGGCACAGCTGTCCCAACATAGGTCTCCTGTATCACTAGGTCCTGCCCCCCCCACCCCGTAGCAGATGCCTTGGCCACTCCCAAGGACCCTCTAGAGCAGCCTGGCAGGGGGGAAATGCCAAGCAGTGGGCTCCTAGAAGGCGCCAGTCCCCTGGAGGGAGGAGGAGCCCCAAGGTAGTGGGCCCTGGAACTCCCGCCAGCTCAGGCACTGTGCCCACCACCAACCCATGAGGCATCACCTTCCCCACAGGGTATAGACCTGGAAGGACAGCCCATCTCACTTTAGACAACCAGACTGCTCCCTGGCCTGCCCACCTGGTGGGGAACACAAGCACAGAGGCAGGGAGGCTGGGCTCTAACGGCTGCCACCATGTCAGCCCCTACCCTGCACCCTCAGCTCTCAGCCCCCAAATCCTGGTTGTCCCAGCTTCCCTTCACTGCCTTCCTGTAAGCTTCTCCGCATCAGCCACTGTGGAGATGCACACCTGAGCCTGTCCTCGTGAGCCCTGGCAGGGCCAGGCTGTGCCTGTCTACCACAGCATCACTGCAGGTGCCACTTCCCTGCCCCCCTGCAGCCAGTCCACAGAGATGACGGAAATCCTGGTTCCTACCTGCCCTTTTGAGTCCAGTTGCTGGCTGAACCAGCATGTGTGTGGCTCCCAGAGAGTGTGTGGCTCTATCTCCCTAAGTCCCTCTCTCCTGTGGAACTGACCTGTTTGTCCACACTCTTGTTCCTGAAGTTTACAGGTCCTCGGTGCCTAGGCGTCAGGACATTAGGACACAGCAGTGACAAGATGACCCCTCACCACCTCTGGATAGCAAGCCTTAGAAAATAGCTCTTTGTGCAGCCATTTTGGGCAATCCATGCAAGCGATGGCTCTGACCCCACAGGCTGGGGCTGCAGCCCAGTGTCTCCCTGCCTCTCCCCCAGCCGGCAGTCCAGCATGCACCTGCCCTCCGCTCTGATAGTCGCAGACCGAGATATGACCACTTGTGTTTGAACACATGCACCTCACACGCACAGGGTGACTATGTTGTTTCATAAAAATGAGATATTGAACCTCTCTGCTCTACATCTCACCCTTTTCATAATGATATCTTGGAAATCCTTCCAAATATACTAGTCTGATTATAACCCATGCTTTCATAGTTGCACATTACATGTATTTTTTGATTTAGTCATTTCTCTTTTAGTATAGAGATGGGCGGTCTTCCTTAGCATAGATGTATTTGAATTTATGCAATCAGAAGTGTTATGTTTATCAATGCTCCTGTTATTCTGTCATTTCTATTATAAATAATGTTGCAAATTTTGCCTTATGTTGTAGTTTCATATGTCATTTTACTCTCTGATTCTTCTAATTCTCTGACATGAATTTTCGTGGGCACACTGAGAAGTGTCAGGGTCTATTTTGCACAGATTCTGTTTGTTTCAATGACCTACTTTTTAAAGGTCATTTACCCCCCAAAAAACAAAACTCAACTTCTTGGGGTTCCTATTGGATTTGGGGTTGCTGATTTCAAAGGCACAGGATGTGAGTCCACAGGAGCTGGCCAGCTGGCACAAGCAGGGGGGCATCCAGACTCAGATACGCTGATGTCAACTCAAGGGCTCGTCCCCCAGGTCGAATCTTGTGTTTGTAGAAGTTAGATGCACCAAGAGATGGGCCATGTTTCTGCCCATTCTTATCCACTGCTAGAGGAGGAACAAGGGCCCCAGAGGGTGAGCAAGGTGGCTGCTTCTTTTGAGATAAAAACACCTGTGCCCTCTGCCCACAGATTCACCTGCCAAGAGTTTACTCATGGAGGAGAATGGACAAGATCACGCACCACTGACTGCTGGACACTGCAGAGACCAGAGGCACCTCAGTTCCACTTGGTAGGTACCCTCAGGACTGGGCACTAGTCTCCGTGTCACATGGCAGCTGGCCAGAGAATGAGGCAGAGGTGTGAGCTCCACTGGGAACAAACTTCAAGAAATGAGAGGACAATTCTGGAAGGACCCGTAAGACCTTGGTGACAGTGGTGGCATGAAAGGAGTGGGATTAGGAGACTAGGACATAGTGGGGAGAGATGGCCTTCCCCTTGGTGTCCTTTCCTACTTGATGTCTTTTACACTGTCACGAGCAGTGGGGCACCCAGGCTCCAATATGCCATATAGCATCACTCCCACCCCTGCCCGGCTATCTAGAGTGCCACTCAGGGAACCCCACTCTCTGCTCACACAGGGAGAAAGTGGCTTCCAGAAATGAGTCCCCAAGAAAGAAGCGGGGTGTGGGGAAATCTGGGAGTGCATCTCAGAGAGGAGGGACAAGGTGCAGACGTGAGCTCTGAGGAGGGAAGCAGGACCAAGACCCAGGGGTCAGCCCCATTCTCACCACATGAGCTCAGTGCCAAAGAAACAGGGTCACTCAGGCTATTTTTTAAACATGCCGCGGGTTTGGTATCTACTTATGCTATCAGCCTTCTTCTTTTTAATGCTCACAAGAATGTTCATTTTTAGCATGGATAATTTTAAACCATTTTCAAATCAACCTTTTCTGGCAATGAATAGATGTGATTTCTCCCACGACAACACCCACAGACTATCTAAATCCAGTGTCACCTGTGCTAAGCAGTGACAGACTTGTCATCATAAATGCTCTGTGATTCCACCTCTTCTGACTTACAGGATTACACCAGCCCCCTTCCCCTCGACCACAAACACAATTTCCTACTGAGAGGGCACCAGCCCAGACTGCAGCAGGAAGGCAGGCTGGTCTTTAGCTCTCAGTGTGCAGAGGATCCTGAGGAGGCAGCTCTGCTCCCAGGCCACTGGGATGCTGTTCCAGCCTCAGCGCTGGGGACCTGGCCTAAGGCCAGGCTCTGCCTCCTGGTGTGACCGCAAAGGATCCAGTGAGTCTCACCTGTGATGCCCACAGTGACAGCACCTTGCTCATGTGGTGAGAACCAAAGGAGGAAGCAGATTCAAATGTTAGCCTTTGACAGGTGGGGAGCACTCAGAGGCAGGGAGCACTCCTTCCTCCTGGGCCTTCCTCTTTGAAGTAGCACTAGCATCACCAATATCACATTTTTCTGCCTAAATTATCTCTATCCTAAAATCATCTACCTAGTGGCCCTTACCAAATGGGACATGGGGTTCAGTGACTGTATCTCTGTAAGCACCATGGTTTGTCATGCAACGTCTCCAGGCCTAGGTGCTTCCTGAACAGCCTAAGTCTTTACCTATAATTCAGTTATTCACTGTTGAATGACAAATAGTGACAGGCCAGCCCCACACACCCCAGGCTTGTTTTCTCCACTTGTGACAAGAGGGGGCTTGTCCTCAGAACCCCTCAGACCTTGCGTCTCCTGTGCATGGACAGCTTTGGGCCTCTTCCTCCAGGCCGGCAGGAGGGGCAAGCAGAAGGGACGTGCTGCAGAGAGGAGAGACAGGTCGGGGCATCTGCAGAGGATGGCGCCTCAGACTGCGCCCTTGGACTGTGGCAAGAACCACCTGTGAGGTCAGACTGGGCGACAGGGCAGGACAAAGGGAGGAAATGAAAGAAACAGGATGTGACGGCTGGGCTGAGCTGGTCATGAGGGTGAGTGACATGAAGCTTTCACAAAGCCACACTTACTGTTCCTATTTTTGTCTCACTGTGACACATGTTAATGTCTTCCACATAATGGCCCTTAAAATGACTGCTAATGGCCCCCAGCCTGGGGGTTTGTGCATGCTGGGCAGTCCTGGGCAGAGGTGCAGGGAGGACATGGCAGCAGTGGGGCAGAAGGGACAGTCACTGGCCAGGCAGCTGCTAGCAGGGTGTTGCTCCTTAGGGAAAATGCCTCTGGGCGGATTTGGAGACCACCCTGCCTGAAAAAGATGCACTTCTGGAGGTGCTGGGCAAGGGGGGCCTCACACCCCTCCAGCGTCATGACAGACTTAGGGCCTAAAGGAGCCCTGAACAAGGAAGCCCCGATGCACAAGAGCTGTGCCGTCTGGCTTCAACATGGCCTGTCCTTTCCTTGATGACCCAATGGATGGGGCCACTGACATACTGCATACCTCACTCCCTCACAAGCAGGGCTGGGGGCCCGTGTCCATCCTTTCCTTGGTGACCTGATTAACGGGGCACTGACATACTGCATACCTCACTCCCTCACAAGCAGGGCTGGGGGCCCGTGTCCATCCTTTCCTTGATGACCTGATTAATGGGGCACTGACAGACGACATACCCCATGCCCTCACAAGCAGGGCTAGGGGCCCGTGTCCATCCTTTCCTTGATGACCTGATTAATGGGGCACTGACAGACGACATACCCCATGCCCTCACAAGCAGAGCTAGGGGCCCGTGTCCATCCTTTCCTTGATGACCTGATTAACGGGGCACTGACAGACTACATACCCCACACCTTCGAAAGCAGGGCTGGGGGGCCGTGTCCAGGCTTCTGTGCACACATGACCAGAAGGTGGGTCATGCACTTGTGCATGAGGAGCCCCCACCCTATGCCACATAGGAGCCAGCTTGGACGCTTCTCTGGAGTCCCCACAACAGGCTAGACGGAAAGCCCAAGATGCACCTTGCAAAGGGAAAGGGGCTTCTCTCCGGAAACACAGGGTGAGCTGCCTCCCCTCCCCTCCCCTCTGCAGAGTGAGGCCTGCACAGGGTGATGTAGGTGACGGCCCTTCAGATAATGTGAGCTGCATCATTTGTCTCAGCTGACGCCCAAAGGACCCGGTTGTGTTCCGGGTGTCAGAGGTTCAGCCACCGCTGACATTCAGAGGACTACACACTGCACCTCAGATGGAGTTGCTCTGACGTTTTGTTCTCTATGGAGTTTAAAAATTTGGGGATGACCAACTTCTTCGTCTGCCACATCATGATGTTCCTTCAAAACACCAATACTAATACCTCTGTCTCTACCAGTCAGTGGCACAAGCTCCGCTTCCTTTGCACAGGAAGTGGAGAGTGGGGTGTGCAAACAGCCGTAAGGAGCCCACTTCCCCTCTCAGTTCCCAACTGCACACAGGTCTACCGGGCCCCTCCCCAAACCCAGAACACACCAGGCCCAGTCATGCCCCACTTAGCTCTGCAAAGGCTTCCACTGCCCTTAGAACATCTCACACGCTCCTTCCAGGCCTGGGGACTCTGGTGCAGACCTCCCCCTCCCTACTCCCTGCCCTCAGCCCTTGCTCTGTCCTAGCCTAGAGCATTCCCCTTCCAGGTCTTCAAGACCTCAGTTTCCTCCACTGTCAGATGTCGTGTCCACAGAGACGCCTCTCCTGACCATGCAGCCAAAGACACTCCCTTCCCGGTGTCACCATTCTCTTCCACAGTCTTTGTACAGTCATCGCTCTTTGAGATTATTAATTATTTGTCTTTCCTGCTAGAATACAAACTCCTCAAACACAGGCACATATTTTCTGTCTTATTTACAGCTGAGCTCCAATACCAGGCACCCAGCAGGTACCCAGTCAGAACTGGTTGAATGGATAGATGACTGGACAAGGGCTCCATCCTGGGTAACTCTTGGCATTGGCGTGGGAATAATGCCACGCCACACACAGCTGATACCATTGTGAACTCAGCAAATATTTGCAGATGCCTAACCTGGACCACAGAAGCCAAGAGAGTAAGTTCCATTTGTAAACAGGTGCTATGGAGAGATTGTGTCCACCGCACTCCACTTGCAGCCTCCCTGCCCTCTTACCTCCAGTGGGACCACCTGCATGAGGATGGCGAAATTGGTGAGGTGAGTACAGCGGCAGGTGGAGTAGGTAAGGTTTCCCTCTATGCGCACACAACCCTGGTTCGACCAGATGCCTTCTCCGGAGCTGAGGACACAGGAGAAATAATCAGGGGAGCGACACTGCACCCCTGGCCAGGGGCCAGAGCATCACCCTCACCCACAGAGGCCCTGTGAGCTCCCAGTGGCGCTCACACAACAGGACAGTGCCAGGGGTGGGGGTCTCATCATCGGGCCATGGGGAGATGAAGCCCCCTCTGAGACACACGCAAAGCCCCGGGACAATATCTGGCCTGACATGGAATGCACACACCTCCAGCCCTGCTCCAGCCATATGCACAGGGACCACAGCCGGGGAGAGTGGCAGAGCGGTGTTATAGTAACTTTAATGCCCATCTGGGGGAGACAGGTAAGTAAAATGTGGGGTATATACTGCACATTAGTTAAGAAGACCGTCCTGACCAATGCATATCAATGTGGATGAAACACCAAACATAATGAATAACCGATGATAATGATGCAAGGAGCATGGAACTAATACCATAAGTTTCTTAAGAACATAAATATAAATTATGGTGAAAACTCACTCAAAAGGTCATGGGGCTGTGCAAATTGTTAATGGTATTTGCCATTCACTCAGAGACTGTCCCCCACGGTTCCTTCCAGAGAGAGAGGAGATCAGGATATGATGCAAAGGTCAAAGGGGACCTTGGCTTTCGTATGAAATTTTACTTTTAAATGAATCATGCATTGATCTACGACTTGTATAATTTCTCGAGGTGTAAACCTAGACAAACATGACTCAAAGCAATGCTCCAGTGTTACCTGTGGTTAATTCTTACAGTAGGAAGATCAGCGTTTATAATTTTCTTCTCTGTACTTCTCTAAATTCCAAAAAAAGAAGATGTTTTAAACGGTCCTTCCCAGAAGTTGGCCACTTTGAGTTGTCAGCAAAGACAAATCTTTCCTTTAGCGAAAGCCAGGGGCCCTTGGGGGGAAGCACTTATGAAGTTGGAGAAACTCGAAGGCTCTCATTTGTCTTTGCTGGATATTTAGCTCTAACTGTGGTGTCAGCTTGAGTGCGGCAGACAAGAAATGTGGCTGTCACTGTTGGGTGACTCAAAAATCCAACCTCACACCTCTGCCACCAGCATCCACTGCATGAAACACACAGAGGCAGCCTTTCTGTCTGCCTGGGGAGTGGGGTTGGTGCTGGCCCCAGGGGATGGGACTGAGGGAAGATCACTCAGAGGGGCGTCAGATGGCATTGGGCGGGGAATGAAACACAGAGACAGTAGCTGCAGTGGTGATTTTCACAATGGATGATCTGCTCTCTGCCTGGAGGCAGAAGGCATTTAGCAGAGACCAGACAGCAAAGCCAGAGCCACTAATTTACAAGACCAGACCCCATTAATAATTTCAGAACAGATGGGAATGGAAGATGGGGGCACGTACTCCCCACACCTTCTGGCCTAACTTTCCCAGGACTTTGGGGAGACTCAGCAAACATGGCTGTCGTGTTATACAAAGCACCGGTGTGCCCATTGGATGCAGAATGCACATTTCCATCTAAGGGTGGCTGGAAATTGGCAGCACTGAACCAGATGGATGTGGTCATGGGTGAGCGACTGCCCATCCCATCTATGTCAAGGGTGAGGTGGGAACCGTAAGCCCCGCACTTTTCAGATGGAGCTGAAAGGGGTGGTAGCACTTTAGTGAGCCAGGGGAGCTGAGGGGATGAGGAGGGTGCAGATACCCTTTCAAGGAAATCAGGGAAAGAAGGAGGCAGGCCCTTGGCTTGTAGGTAAGTAAATCTGCCAGGGAGCCATGCCGAGCAACATCAAATACCATTAACAATTTGCACAGCCCTGGGACCTAGGAAGTCTGCATCTAAGCCAGAAAAAAATAAGTTTACCCTCACACATAAATAAGATGTGGAATATACAAACACAATAAAAGAAAGGGGTGCCCATATGAGCAAAACACTGGAACAAAATGTGGTGGAATGATCCAAGATGCATTAAACTAAATAGTGCCATATATTTCCCATGAACTGGAGTATACAGTATATGTACATTATTGAAAATACAAAAAAAAAAAAATCCCCTACAAGAGTTACTGGGAGATAAAGGGGAAATCAGGATAAGATGTCAAAGTCAAAGAGAATATTTGCTTTTTTATGTTTTGGGTTTTTTTTTTTTTTTTGAGACAGAGTCTTATTAAGTCACCCTCCAGTGCCATGGTGTCACAGCTCACAGCAACCTCAAACTCTTGGGCTTAAGCGATTCTCCTGCCTCAGCCTCCCAAGTGCCTGGGACTCCAGGTGCCCGTCACAGTGACCAGCTATGTTTTTGTTGCAGTTGTCATTGTTGTTTAGCAGGCCCGGGCCAGGTTTAAACCCGCCAGCCTCAGTGTATGTGGCCAGCGCCCTAACCACTGAGCATGGGCACCGAGCCTATGTTTTTATTTAAAAAAAAATAATAACATATTGATACATTGTTGTATAATTTCTTAAAGCATAAGTCTAGAAAGAAGTGGCCCAGAATTCTGAGTCTGGTGAAAATATCTTTCAAAAACAAAAGAGAATACTTTCTCAGACAAACGATAACTGAATTAGTGCCAGCAGACTGGCACCGTAAGTAGGGTTAAGGGGCTATGACACCAGCCAGAAACATGGATCTACACAGAGAAAGAAAACAGACAGAAATGGAATAAATGAAGGCAAATGTGTAATTATTGTTATTTTATGTTTAATGGCTCTGAAGGTAGCCGATTATCCAGGGCAAAAATATTCAAGATGCCTTGTGGGCTTTCAGCATCTGTAAAGGTGAAAGGTATGACACCAATACCCCACGACCAGGCAGGAGGAATTGCGGAAGTGTTAATGCAGTGACCTGGCGTACTTTTGAAATGGCACAATAATACTACTTGAGGTAGACACGAATGAATTGAACTTACATACTCTAAGCTTAGGGCAACCACTACAAAAAAATTAAAGGTATAGATTAAAATAGTGGAGATAGAAGAGCATAATAAAAGGTATCTGGGGAGGTGCCTGTGGCTCAAAGGAGTAGAGTGCTGGCCCCATATACCAGAGGTGGTGGGTTCAATCCCTGGCCCTGGCCAAAAAAAATTGAAATGTATCTGATAATCCAAAGGAAGTCAGAAAAAGATTACATAAAAATCAAGGAAAAAATAGAAAAATTAGAAAACATGGTGGATTTTAATCCAACCACATTAATGATTATATTAAGTATATGGTACCTAAGCACATAAATTAAAAACAGAAATTTTAAGAATGGATCAAAAATCAAGACCCAGTTATATGCACTCTAAAAGAAATTCACAGCTAGGTTCCTGTGGCTCAAGTGGCTAAGGCGCCAGCCACATACACCTAAGGTGGCGGGTTCGAATCCCTAGCCCGGGCCCACCAAACAACAATGATGGCTGCAACCAAAAAATAGCCGGGCGTTGTGGCAGGTGCCTGTGGTCCCAG